CTCATCTGCACAGGGAAATCATCATTGATGAGATCATTTTTGAAAAGGCTCACTGCTTTTATCGTTCTGCAAAGAATCTGCTTTCAAAAGATCTCCCAACTTTTTTGAGGGAAAGTCAAAAGGTTTCAGGTTTTAAAGCCTTATATTTTAAACAAAACAAGAATGACAATTTATTCAAGTTTTCTAAAATGAAATTGGCATTGGGGTCAGTTGGCGCGGTCAGCACTCTGACGTCGAGTCGAGGTTCAACCATGGTGCCGAGAAAGATCCCTAAAAAGAAACAATAAATACGTGTGTTATAAACAAAAAAATCCCCAACCGTAGCTTTGGAGTTTTTCGCATCCACGTCTTTGCAGGTCTCGGATGGCATTTTGCGAAAAGCCGTTGCCGCTTCACGAAGACTTATCTAATGGAATAACCGCACTGACACTCTCACAATCAATTAGACTTCTAAAAAGTACAGATAATATCAAATCATTTTCTTTTCATTTCACAAAAGATTTTAAAAGTTTATTCCGAATAATTGAAAGGCAACACATAACACATAAAACACCAATAATCTGCCAAATCAAAAAATGGAAACAATAGAAAGCGGCTAAAAGATACAATGAATCATCAAAGAGTGTTCATTTTAACCGACCGGCACGTAGAAGGCCAAGAAGACCACGGAGCGCACAAAATAACCGTACACGCAGACGCAGTCCTTGGTTGAATCAATGCGTCGACGGAAGATTGAGCTTTCCATGTCGAAACCCCCACAAGCCTCAGCACCATCAGAACCATCAGCACCATCAGAACCATCAGCACCATCAGAACCATCAGAGCCACCATAATCATCAGAATCAGAATATCCACTCACATTATAATCAGAAAGACACCATCCTAAATTCTCCATAACATCCTCCGCCTGTTTGAGAAGTCGAAGACGATTCTCTCCATCGATTCGTCGTATTCCTGGATATTGTGAGGGATCCATCATGTGAGGCATCCATCCTATCGTATGTGTATAAATCAAGATAGTAGCCTCAGGGTTCTTGCTCGGGATTCCATTGGTGACGATCTGTTGAGCCATCCAACCAATGTCTGAACCATCAACAACCATAGAACCATCAAGAATAGAAACGTTTTTGATCTCAGTCTTCAACAGGACGTCGTAGTAAAAGCTAAATAAATCTTTGGAATAACAGTGAAACCCAAATTTCTCGCAATCCTTGAGTTGTGCCATGATGAAATTCTCGATGAAACCGTTGATCATTTGATCATCTTCATCTTCACCGAGTTCGATATTCAGCCCTGCATATTTCTTGATCGATGCGTGGACATTTGAGAAGAATCTCTCGAGAGCTTCTCTTGAATTCCCTTCCAGGCGGAAATTATTCACAGACTTTAAATTGCGCAGAAGTGTGTATTGATCGTTCTCAATATTCCTTCATCCAGATTCATCCAGACCCTCAAGCAATCGCACGATCGAATCTTCTTGAAGAAAGAAGCGTGAGAAGAGACATTGAGCTCTACTAAAGGTGAATTGGAAAACTGATAGATCAAAATCATCTCATTGTATGATTGAATCTCTAAGACGCGCTCTCCAAAAACGATCGACGGATCCCTCACGAGCATCCCTTTGAATCCTTCCGTTCACCTTAACCAACTCAAGCACATCCCTTGGGTCCATTTGCTCCAACACTTCCAACTTCGAATCGAAACACAACTTCTCCATCGGAAATGACTTCAAACAATTCTTCATTTTGAACGGTATGACTGGCTTTGACGGTATGACCTGTAAATACAAGACTAGACTTTGTTTTGAAACGAAGAGGTGCTTCACGGATAACGGAAATGTTAGAGAAATAGTGAAATTACCTTGGGATAGCCAGGCCGTAAAGCGCTACAAAATGTAAAGCTCGAAAGTCAATCAATCAAGAAATTGACAACCGCTTCAAACAGTAACCCCATCATCGAACAATATTTTATACATTTATTCCAAGTCACAACGATAAAGAGAAAAGCTCGCAAAACATAACAAAAAGCAACAACATCTAACCGGCCAACATTTATAAATCTAAACAAACAAAACTTTAACATTAAGTACATTAAGCATTATTAAGCATCACTAATCACAATCAGGTAGAAGCCATTCATGATCTAAATTCACACAATTAAAAGCTTGAAAATTTTATTAAAGCCTTTGTACTGTTCGAGCTCTTGCAAATAACGAAGGAAGAAGTTGAGCAAGAACGATTTTCCTTACGATAAACACCAGCCACCCCAATAACGGCTACCTAAAAACACAAGATGTACATTGTTTTCAAATATAAAACAAACCTTTTTATCGGCATATTTTCTGTCCAAGAGAACCTTTTCAAGAGCGGCCTCGTTTAACGTGAAGGCATGCTCGGGATCCTCATCACTCACTTCAACAACGCGAACAGCTTCGGAAACTAAAAACATTTACCGTATTTACTCGAATAGAAGACCGGTCTTCTATTTTTTTCAATCACCCCCTAGACCCGTCTTCTATTCGAGGCCCAGGCCAGCGTTAGACCAAACTCCTGGCTACTCCAAATTGCCGTAGTTTAACTGTAGCGCGAAAAACTCCGAGCTTCACGTTAGAAAGAAGCAAATTCCAGCCCGAGCTGCCTTTCACAAATGGTGAAGCGAAATAGTGGTAACAGACATACACACAAACCGACAGACATTTGCTCAAAATTATAATATATTAGATCATTTAGAGAAACTGTCTCTTGAGTTGATCATCCGATCGGAACGGTTGAACTGAGACTTACAGTCTCTATCACGATATCAAAGGGACCAAAATTTCTATAACGATTCTAAAACGCGCCCCACATTTTCTGCGTAGTTGCCCTGTGCGCCCAACGATTGCAGCTAATTGGGCAGCTACGCAGAAATCAGGGACACCTTTTACAATTTCAAATCGTTATATAAAAGCTTGACTGTATTTGTTGTAGCTCAGTGGTTGGAAATTGGGTACCCCAATCACTCGCCGGCGCCTATTCTGACGTGTAATGAATATCAATATTTCATTGGTAAAAAAGAAAACCGAGACGCAAACACGTATTTTCCTAAACATTTCAAATTCAACTCTAATCAATAAATTGACACAGAATCACACCAATCAGAACATCGATCACTTTAGAGAGTATCAGTGAAAAATGTTGAAAAAATAAGAAATTTTTAAAAAACGAACAAAAATATAAATCATGAATATACTTTTTGATGTCCCGCGGCTCTTTGTTTAGATTCCTCGACCTCCTCCCCCGACGAAGCTCGTTGTGCTAGTCCTGGAGCACCACCGCGGCGAGCCTAAAAAGGAAAATTTTGAAAATTATTGGAAGCAGTTCTTGCATTTCAAAACACTGCCACTGCTCGATTGTTACGGGAATTTCATTTACAAGTTCCTTCGTTCCATTACCACAAACTCATTTTTCACTAAAGGTAAGCCTACCATTTGTGGCTGTCCTCGTCCACTGATCATTCCACCACGTTGTGCCGTTTGTTGACGATTCATTGGAGTCACGTAGAGACCGGCACTCTGAATCAAACTGCCCAAAGCCATATACCTCCAGCAATTCCCTCGTCTTCAGCAGCACGCATCGACTTCTCACCCTCTTCCCTCTCATCGTCTGCTTCTTCCATCGCCGATGCGGCTTCTCTTTCCTCGCCAAGATCTCCCAAATCGTCGCCAACATTTTCAGCATCTAAAACCTATTTTAGCTGCAAAGTTTGGATGGAGCCATACCTTGTGTCTGCTCATCAACATCACCACCAGCATCGTGATCGCTTTGATCGATTCCTTGAATTACTTCCACTTCACCATCTAAAAAAGATAGCGTTTGCAAAAAAACCAAACTACCGCACCATCATCCACAAAATTGTTCCTCGTCCATTCGGCCAATGCCTTGATCACTAAAGGAGACCGTCTTGTGAAACGCCGTCCGTTGGAGGAAGTAAATCTAAACAAGAAAATCATGTGCTTAAAGTTTGTCTTCCTTCTTCAGCCTAGGACGACAGAGCTTTTCTCCTCTTGCGCACGGCTATCTGGTTGAGGCTGGGTGGTCGACAAGTGGCTGCTCTAAAATTTATCAAATTACCCACCATCATCCACAAAATCCACAGCTGCCTCTTCATCATCCAAGTCCTCGGCTCCCCCACCGTAGTCGAAATCTTCGGCCTCTTCTTCATCCCCTTGTTCCTCGTCCATTCGTCCAATGCCTTGATCACTAAACATATTAATTTATTAGGAAACGCTTCCTGTTAAAAGTAGTACAATCTAGCAAAGGATCTAGAAATTACTCTTCTGAGTCAGTTGCCCCATCTCCTTCATCAGTGTCCGAGGAAAGCACTTGAATATCGTCATCACTTGGCTGCCCTGACGCTGCATTCGTTGATGTTGGAGTGGGTGGTCTGGGACTTCCCTAAACAGGACAATCTAATTCGTTATAATAAAGTCAGTCAACAGTTGATACACTCAAAAGCATTACTTCAAAACTTTACCTGAATATCATCATCGTCATCTTCAAAGTTGTCAATCACTTCCGGCAGTCCATCGTCGTTTCCCTCTTCCATTTCCCCAATTTCTCCCTCCTCTTCCAATCCTTCCAAATCCTCGTCTTCGTGATCTCCGAAATCCTCATCTTCCCCTGGGATTTCTTCAAGCGCTTCATTTGAGACGTCCTCGTCAAGCAACACCTAAAATAAGGCGTCATCGAAGGGCTGATACAAAATGTAATATAAGTTTTACGCAATAAAAGTACCGTCACCTCTGCCTCGTCGTGCAATCGTTCACTGCTTGTGATTTGCTCTTCACCGGGGCTTTCGCGCTGACGCTTTGCTTCGTTGTCTGAACAAGACACAGATAGTTTGAGACAAGCAAAGACTGCATTAAGCTAAACTCGTACACCTTTACCTGTTTCATTTCCTGTAGCTGTTCGCTTTCTTCCGCCAACACCCTCGCCACTAGATGAAGTGATCGCCGAGAGGAGGCCGTCTTGTGAAACGCCGTCCGTTGGAGGAAGTAAATCTAAACAAGAAAATCATGTGCTTAAAGTTTGTGAACAACCTTCTTCAACTAGGACCACAGAGCTTTCCTCTTGCGCACGGCTGCTGGCGCAGCTGAAGAGGCGAATGTAAAAGACGAGGAACCTCTATTTGGAATGGTGGCCGGGCGAGTGCCGAAGAATGAAGCTACCTGAAAGAGAAAACGTGCAATAAACATGCCAAGCTACTAGTTGGCAAACGAATTTTTGCGCTTAAATTTACAGCTCCTTGAATTGAATGAATATTTTCATGACGATTACATTTACGCTTCAGTTAGAGCTAAAAAATCTTTCAACGAACCATCGGAACTGATGGGGTAGGGCTTGACGATTGCGGAGCACTTACGGTAACAGTGGAAGATGATGTTGGCAAAAGATTTGAAGATGTTTGAGCCTAAAAAATCGTAGCATAATTTAAATTGTTATACAAGACCTGGAAAAGAGTCGTCGATCCAAAAACAGCAGATGATGCGGTAGTGCGGAATGTGGATGGTTGATTGGAAAATGGCGAGAAGATCGATTGCTGGGGACCTAAATTAGAAAGTTGCGGTATTTTTAGGCGATCATTGAAATTAAACTACCAAACTACTCTAGCATTTCCCCACTAGATCAAGTTTAAAACTAATTCTGCAAAAAAAATTGATAACTCTAACTTACATGTGGCACAGTCTCAGTCATGTGTTGAACGGTGGAAGTTGTACCAGAAGCACTTGTCGGAGTGGGCACAGAAGGGACGATGACAGATGATTGCGAGATGACAGGAGTTGGTGCTGGCGGGAGCTCAACGGGATGCGATGACGATGGCTGAACGGCGGCCTGTTGGAGCGCTGCTTCGGCTCGAGTTCTCGCATGGGCTTCCTAAAAGAATCAACATACAAGCATTTTATGAATAAATTATACCTTTTCTGCTTCAAGTTCCTTGGTGAGACTCGTCAGCCTATCTTGGGTTTTCTTGACCATGTTTGACATGGCAGTCGATCGGAATGAGGCTTCGTCTAAAAGTGAATTAATAAGATATTATTGCTTTCAAAACCAACTCTTCTCTTCCTCAGCTTGTTCATGGAGCGCTTTAGCCTTGGCAACCTCGGCCTCGAGCTTCTGCGTCAAATCGTTGACCTGTTCTTTGCAACTGTTGAATTTCCTCCTGTTTCTTTTGCATCGACTCGTTTTGCACCGGTTCTAAACAAAACTCTGGAAATCTTTGAGTTCAATCGGTTACCTATTGGGGTCTTTCCATCGACTTGTTGCTTGAGCTTGTCTCGCTGATCTCTCAAACTTTTTGCCAATGCGACGACTTGTTGATGACGATTCTCGGTGTCTTTCACTTTGAGTTCGAGTGTTTTGCTAAAATACAAAGTCAAAATCAACGTCAAGAAGTAGAATATTTATAAATCGGCCCTAGTAACCTGTTGGCAATCTCTGCTCTAATCCATCTCCTAATTGCCAAGTTCGCGAGATTTTGAAATTCCCAAAGTTGACGGTCATTTTTTCTTATCATTTTTTTTTGTTTCCAATTCTGATTATTTTATACTTCTTTTATCTTTATCGTATTTTTCTTTATGATATAACTTGGTGGAATGGATTCTTTCAATTTCTGAGCGTTAACAAAAAGCACCATAAGATCACCAAATTTCTAAATGTTATACACAATTTTTTCAAAAATCAAGACGTTTAAAAACTCAATAGAGTTTAGAAGTAGACTCAATTCCTAGACTGTCTAAGGAGAGCAAAAAAGCGGCGAATTTGTTTATCAAATGTAGAGAGAATCGGTTTACATATATGGATTGTAAACCTGCTAAACGCCTTATGGCCGCCAAAAATGAAACATTTCATCGAAAAAGGAGTGAAATATGACAAAGGCGATCTCATAAACACACCCTTTCCGTGCAACTTCAGCTCAGTGTTTCCGGATTTCATTTCTGATCGTCCTTATATGCAAAGAAATATCTCTCGTCAAGCGAGCGACAAGAGTTCGCTCGTTTACTGAACGTTACAGAGACTCAGGTTCGAGAAATTTTGTCTCATGATTGAAACTAGTCGAACGTTAAAAGAAAAGTATAATCCAGCTGCATTTTTTTTCATTCAATTAGCTAAACTTTCCTTTCAGAAGTTTTTGTCTGTTTTATTCTTCTTGGAACTGAATTTCTGACTGCTCTAGCATAAATTTGGTTCCTTCCATTTTCTGGAATGCCCCGGATTATCAAAAGCTTTTTTCTAGATGATTTTGCAAGAATTTGAAAGCATTAAAGAACCGAAATAGAACCGATTCTCACGAAAATCAAATTATCCAGGACATATAACTTTTTTAATGAAATTTTTTGTAGAAATGAAAATGAGTAGAGGTGTTCTTTGTTCGGTTGCGTAATCGCTCGCGACCCAGCATACCCGTTTGGTATAAAGTGTTTCCCTTTCGAAATCGGTAAAGGGGAAGGAACGTTGAGTGGATCGGTTTGCCGCCTTGTGCGACTCTATGCCGAAATTTGTGGGGATCATTAGTTGCCTAAAATTTGGCTTTATTCTTCTATAACATCCTGTTAAAGCATTGGACCCTCGACCTAAAACTTTGACTGTTAAACACCTCTGACTTCAAACCTTTATCACCAAACAAAAACAAGACAGGGTGAAAGTAATAGAGCTAATCGTTTTCCGTATTAAAGAGCGACGGAACGAGTTTCTCCATTTCGACGGCATTATGCCGAAATCCGTGGGGAAAAATTTGCCTTTAAATTTGGCTATATTTGGCCATAAATTCTACATCCTGTGAAGTCAAAACAACTTGAGAATCGGCCCCAATTCGGACTCGCAATCCAGGGAATTTTCGCAAAAGTTGCATCCTTGAAATACAGGGTGATCAAAAAGTTCCCGCATAAATGATTGATTTTCCAAATGAAAGTTAAAACTAAATTTCCCCGTGTTTTATAGTATTTTGAAGCTGAAATAATTCTGAACATTTCTAAAAAGTAATTCCCGATCAGAAATTTCCGGCATTTTCAAGAAGCTTTTGCACTGCATTCGAGGCAAACAGACAGACAACACACAGTTTCAGACAACAGACAACACACACGTTTTTCAAGACTACTTTACCTTTTTTATTTTCACGAAAGATTTTATTCTTTTAAAATAGCAATTGAACTGTCACTTAAAACAAAAGTGTCAATCTGAAAACGTTTTTTAAGAATTTTTCAATCGTGAAAAAGTTCAAATAGGTAGCGCCATGGCAGTTCGCCCAGCGCACTACAATGCTTTTTGAAGAGCTAGGTGGCTCTGATCAGGATGGTTTAGGTGTAGAAATGCTTCCCAGGATTTCAGCTTCAAAATACTATGGATTTCGGTTCTTCTTTCGATCTGGGTTTTAGCTGGAAAATGGATCTTTTTGTAAAGTGTGCGGGAACTTTTTGATTACCCCTGTAGTTTAGTTGTAACCCCTAGCTTCAACAACTTTTCCAGATTGCTAATCGCAATCTGTAATGCAAAAAGGAGATCTAGCTATCTAAAAATAACTTTGAACTATTTGTTTTCTGACAGTTTTTGTTTAAAAATTAAAATTTAGGTAAAGATTTGGTTTGAAAATCGTCGCACGAAATGGAAAAAGACCGAGACGGAGATTGAAGAGAAAATCGTTGAAAAGCTTTGGCCCGGTGAAGAGAAATAAAGATTTATTCTCAAAAACTTGAAAATTCTGTATTGTTTTATAAAATTGCATAATCGGAAAAGGAGAATGGGAGAAATCTTCTCGCGGATGCATCAATCAGTGTCCACATGTGCCGTAAACGATGAAGCTTATTCTAAACATTTTAATCACTTTTGAACAAAATAAAAAAAAGCTAATAAGGATAATAAATGATCGATTCAAAGACCCAATAAGCTTAAGCCTATAGAATTCAGTTTTAAAATTACCAAATCTGTATATGTGAAGCAAATTGGGCATCGGAATTTCCCCGACGAGGAGTCGATTTCCGAAATCCTCAAAGGCCAATCGTTCTGTACAAAGGTAAATTAACTATCGTATTTGTAAATAGAAATTTTTAAAGATTAAGTCGCTTTTTATGTTAGATAGTTAAAGTTTCATATAGCGAAACCCCAGATAGCAAAAAATTTCTCTATAACAAAATGGGGTTTTGCATTCATATAGTCACGCACAAAAAGTTTTGCCCCCCCACCCAGTGATTGTAAATCTTTTTACTCTATAACTTTTTTCTATGAATTTCAAATGGGCAACTTTTAGTTAGGGCTTTTTCTCTAGTTTCATGATTGCATAGCCATAAACCCAAAAAATCTAAACCAATAAAATACACTTTTTTAACGCTTACTCTAAAGAAATGCAGAAAAGGATTGGCTTTTTTTTGAAAATCTTGCCTTTTTAAGTGTTTTTTTAACTTCTCGCTAATCTTTTTTATTTTAGAATTCTTTTAATTGGATATTCGTTGACCGCGGACAAGAAGAAAATCGTTGAGGCCAGGGAAAGTGAAAGATGTGGCCTAGCACAGATGATGTCAGTGAAAGATGTGGTCAGGCAGTTCAAGTGTGGAGAAGGAAGGTGGAACGCTTGTTTACTAAAGCAAAATTAGCCGGCAACTTTTACTGAGCCGCAAAAACCGGCCGCCCACCTGTCCACTAACAACTCGCGAAAACAAAGCACTCGTGTTTCCCAAGAAGGACCCAAATCGCAATGCCTCAGACGGAGTCCGACTCATGAACCAACAATTCGGTAAGAATACCAATCGAATGACAGTGAGCCTGATTCGTGCTCGATTGATGACAAGCCGTGCCGCTAAGAAGCCTTTAATGGCTGCCAGGCACAGGAAGATCCGTCTCGAGTTTGCGAACAAGTATGGACCTGTTGGACCTACTCAAAGTTGAATCACCGAAGACTAGGCGAATGTTATTTTCTGCTATAGCTAAGCTTTAACTGTATTATTATTGAGTATTATTCTGCACACCTGTATTCCTGATCGGCGTTACACGTTATCAACAACACCCGATCCTCAGTTGTAAAACGATTTCACTATTCGTCGCTTCTAAAGATGATGAACATTAGATATAAAAACCTTTGTAATATTAGGGGTTTGCAAAAGGAAACTGCGCATGACTTTCCGGAACAATATTTTCTCTATTTGAAAGTGCTCTAACCCAGTTTAAATTTTATTCTATTGTGTTGATAACGCTTATTTATTTTACTGATTTTCACATTTGTTTGACCATTGAATTATAAATAATTTTAGTTGTCGAAGATGACGGATCAAAAATTCGTTTTGCGGGCTTGCCTTCTCTATGACTTTAAAATGAAGAAATCAGCATTGGAGTCGCACCGGAATCTTTGTGAAGCATTTGGAGAAAACGTTTTGGGTGAAAGAAGTTGTCAGGATGGTTCCGGCGTTTTCGTGAAGGAGATGAGGGCTTGGAAGACGAGCCCCATGGACATCGTCCTGTTGCCCTCGATAATGCGGAGTTGCTCGAGGTTGTCGAGTTGGATCCAACTCAAACTTTGCCCGAATTAGCCGAATACTTTAAATGTGATTCGAACACAATTTCTCGACACCTTGCGCTTATTGTAAAAAAGGAATCGTTGTGGCCAATGAGTTCCATATGAATTATCCCCTGAAAACAAAGCCAATCGAGTTTTATGGTCTCTGGTTTCTATTGAAAAAGGCTACGGGCAGTGCTTTTTGGAAACATGTTGATGATGGACGAAAAGTGAACATATTCCAATAATGCAACATGCAAAAGACAATAGTTGAGTAAAAGAGAAAGGCCGATTCCGACATCACGATCCAAAACTTCACGGAAAGAAAGTTATGCTCTCGGTCTTTTGGAATATGAAAGGAATCGTTTATTTTGAATTACGAAAATCTTCAAAAACTATAACTTCTCAAATCCACACCGAACAGCTGAAGAAAGTTGATGAAATTCTACGAGAAAGAGGTGTTAATCGAAGGACCATCCATTTACTCGCTCACAATTTCCGGGTACACACATCAAACTTGGCTCAAAACACCATAGAAGAATTAGGCTGGAATCTTCTGCCTCATCCGCCATATTCCCCCTGATATCGCTCCCTCAGATTACCACTTGTTCCGATCTATGCAACACTCCCTTGCCGTCAACAGTTTAACAATTACCAAGAAGTCGAAATTTGGGTGCAAGACTATTTCGCGTCACAAGATCCAGAAATCTTTCGAATCAGGCATCCGAAGTCTACGTAAAATGGAAAAATATAGTTGATAATTTTGGCGAGTACCTTTTGGAATAAAGTCTTTTATTATTAATTTTCGAGGTGTTTGAACGTTGCGTATAATACGCAGTTTCTTTGCAAACCCCTAATATTACCATTTAAAGTCGTAAAGCTGAGCTTCAATAAAGTGATTTGACTATCGGACAAATTTGAAATAATTGGTCAGACTTGGACCATTTTTTTCTTGTCTAATGACAGGCTTACAAATGAGTGACTTCATTTCCATGAATAAGCTGCTATTCTGGGAAAAGTAGGCTGATAATTAGCCTTAGTAAGATAGTTAGTACGTTTCTTGTTTATTTTTCCAATTAAAGAGCAATTTTGTTATTGATTACAAAGCTGAATTGGATGCTGACTATCAGCGATCGATATACCGTATTTTCTCTAATAGTAGTGCACCCAGAGCGTCGCTAAATTCCTCAAAATCTCGAGAACCGCTTATCAGAACCTATCGATGGGGGCCGGAAAATGTAGCTGACGATCAGATCTAGGGGGATTTGAGTGTTGAACTTTGCAAAAGCTTGAAAACCGTAAAAGAGTCACTAACTCGGCTCGCAGAATGGCAGAATGTCAAAGAAGCTAGGGAGTCAGCCAAAAGGACCTCCAAAGGATGGATCTTTCTGAAGAACATTTCTAGGGTAAGATAGTCGAAGGATTTCAGATTTGCAGTGCATCTTTTCTCTAA